AAATCTAATTTTTGTTTAATATGAAAAGATTAAAAAAAAAAATTAAAAATACCATGACCTTTATTTGAATATTTCATTTTAACTAAGCATATAACAAAATAAAATTGTCTTTCACTTTAATCAAATGAATCCTAACATGAAACTCATGAGAAAAAAAAAGGAAAATAAATGATTATATAAATTATGAGTGAGAAAAAAAATTGTGTTTTTTCCCTTAAGTTTGAATAAATAGAAGTGAAAATTAGTTTAAGATTTCTCTTCCATTTTTAATAATGAAAGAGATCCACAATATTATTTTATAATGTCAAATGGAAGAGATCCACAATATTATTTTGTAATGTCTAGGGTCCCTCAATCCCTGACACGCATATATCACAGAGGAGTTTGATTTCTTCAAATCAAACTCCGTTCTGCATTTGGCCAACATTGAAGTTGAGAGCATGCTCCACCACCTCCGCCATCATCTAATCCTTCGTCGTCGTCTGATTCTTCTCTGCCGCTGCCTTCGTCCACTAGAGTAGAGAAGAAATTGTGGAGTTTCCTCATGTACCATTGTCGAGAGAGAGCCCCTCTCTTACATCACCCATATTCTCTCTCTTCTTTCTGTAATGGTGATTTTTTTAGAGTAGAGAGCTAATCAATCATCCCTTCCATTCCATTCACAACCCAGTAGTTCCATTGATGTCAATTTGAACCCAAAATGCCGATCAATCAAAACCCTCACCACAATCCCCTATTTCCATATCAAAATTCTCAACTCTTCTTCGCCAACACACTCTCCCTATGAGAACCACCATTCGCAGTCGTCTCAAGCTTGTCGAACAATGCAAAACAACCCAAGTCCACTCTCTCAACATAACTACCACCACCACCACAACCACAATCTTTACCACTGCTAGAAAGCCCAACAACCACAACCACCGTGAAACACAACCACACAATCAGCTCTATTTTGTCGAACTCCAATGAAAACATTTTAGTTTCAATGTCTGAAATGAAAGTTTGAAGAGATTTGCAAATCAAAGAAATTTGTACAAACCAGATAAATTTGCAAATTAGATAAATTTGTACAAACCAGAGAAATTTGTGCAAACTTGAGAAATTTTTTAATTTTCTCTGAATTGAAATTTCTTTGGATCGATGTGTGAAGGACCTTAAACATTATGAAAATATTGAATGTCCTTTTTATGCTCTAAAAACTTAATACCAGGGACCCTAAAAAAAATCCCCCTAAATAGAATAGAAGAGAGAATAAAAGAATAATTTGTCTTTTACCTTGCATGGTTAATAAAATGGAAACAAAAAAAGTTAGTATTTGTTTTTATATTATAAAAAATAAAAAGAAAGAAGGAAATGTTAAGAAAAGAAAAATGGAAAAATAGTTAGGCAAAAAAATTATCAAAAGGTGATAAATATTACAAATATTAATAATTATAATTATAATTTTTTTATTAATGTGGAAAAATTTTTAAAAAATTACCATTGATGATAAGTTTTTCAAGAAAAATGCGGAGTCATAATAGGTAATTACTTACTTGATAATTTAAGAGAATTCGTATTATACACATCCACATATTATATATCTTTAGTTACGTTATTTTTTTCATTTAATTATGATAAATTTTTTAATTATGACATTATTTTTATAATATATTTATGATTTTTTGTTAATTATAAATTTTTGTCTTTTCCATTTAATTTTACCTCTAATTTTTTCGTCAACATACTTTCATTGTCAAATCTGTAATGAAAGTTAAACTTTATGTACTATTTTTGTAAATTAAAATTTGCCAACAACAATGCATAGAGATCATTTAATTTTGAAACTTTAAAAAGACCACTAAGTGACAGGTACTCAATAAAAAAAAAAAATACAATATCAAGGCCAAAACAGCAAAATCATTCCTGATGAGACCCGACTGCGTATATCATTAATTGATAACACTAATTTAGTACTCTCACTCATTTTCCATTTGTAAATGGAGGTAGGGACACTGCAGTCACGTATCGCTTTTTGGAAACTATCTATTAATTAAACCGTTTGGGGGGTGGTTTTTTATTTATTTATTTTATTTTTTATATTATAAAATAATAAAAAATCTAAATATTTGGATTACGGTCATTAGTCTCTATTTATATATATATATATTTTTTAAAATTTTAGAATTTATAAATTAATTATTAA